GGGGGGAGGGGATGGTGGTGGTGGTAGTGGAATGGTGTGTGGGGGAAAGAGATAGGAAGGGGAAACAAAGGAGGAGTCAACAATGCTTGATAAGAAATGTACTCATTATCTTGCCCACGTAATTGTAACCCTTCTGTACAGAATTTTCACAATAAAATTTTTTTCTTTGGCTTATTTCCTTTTTGTCACTGTTTTTTATTTTATTTGTCTTGTATATGTTTATCTGATTTGAGGAGGAGATGGGGAGCCTAGAAATGGTGGGACAAAGAGTGAACCAATTTAACAGTGATACGCATGAGCCACACATTGGAAATAAACTATACAAATTTTGGGGGAGAGGAGTTGGGAGTGTAAAACTAGGAGAAAGTGAGGGAGAGGGTGACACTGTTAAAAAAAAAGTACTCATTGCCTGACATATATAACTGTAAACTCTCTGTGCATCACCTTTACAATAAAAAAATAAAGAAAAATTAAAAATACTTTAACTATAGCCTGGCTCTGGTGGCTCAGGCTGGTAATCTTAGCTACCCAGGAGGCTAAGATTTGAGCATCATGATTCAAAGCCAGCCTGGAGAGAAAAGTCCATGACACTCTTATCTCCAATTGTCCAGCATAAAACCAAAAGCTTTATGGCTAAAATGGTAGAGGATAAAAAGCTTTGAATGACAAAACTAAATGAAATCATGACTCCCTGAGTTCAAGCTCTAGTACACACACATAAACACACAGACACACAGACACACACAGACATACACACACACACACACACACACACACTGTAACTATAAAACTTTCAGAGGAAACAAACTCTGTGACCCTGATTAATTATTTTTTATATGTCATAATATTCAATGTGCATGTATGTGAAAATGGAATAGGTAAATGATAAAAGGATGACTTTAATCAAGATCCATTGTTCTCACAAACTGACATGTTGAATTGAAACTTCTTTGTACATTTGCTTAAGGATAGCAAAAATCTAAAAGAAAAAGAAAATGACTTTTTCCTTGTCACATGAGAGCACATTTATAAATAGATTGTTTGTGAAAATTTGCATTTTATCAAAATGAACCAATTTTCAAAAAAATGTTGAGAATATCAAAAGCTGAGTCATGAAATGATGATGAAAATTTGCTAGCCACATAGCTGCTTTCAGACCTCCTATCTGGAATTTATAGAGAACACAAATTTCAGTCATAAACAACTAACTTAAATGGATGTGTGTGTGTGTGTGTGTGTGTGTGTGTGTGTGTGTGTGTGTGTGTTCTCAATTAGAAAACAAGCACTTAAAGAGATAACAGTCATCAAGAGGGAAATACAAATGTAAAGTACAATGAAATGCCTTTGTACACTTATTAGGATGGTAAAAATTAAAAATATTCATCATAGCAAGTGCTGATAAGGCTGTTCAGTGTTAGTATTATGCCCACCTTTGGCCCTCAGCTCCACCCAGACCTGAGCTTCTCCCTGACCTGGAGTTCCTGCCACACAGCTGACCACTCCCCCTCTTTCCCCAGACCCACCTGAGCATGCTCCTACCTCACTTCCTGCTCCCCACATCCTCCTGCTACCTGGATAGGGACAGGTGCTATGTGCTCCCTCTCCAGGGAAATATGGCCCCTCTAATAAATCTTCTAATAATCTTTCTCTTGTGCCTGCTTGCCTTTGGGTGGTCCCCTGGAATGGATGTGAAGGATCTTTTCATTTGGTGCCAAAACCTGGGATAGATTCCCCAGTGGATTTACTCCCCCCTCTACTTTGGATGGGGGTCCCACCAACCACCCCAGGACCTAGCCTGTGGTCCTACACTCCTGTCACCAGAGGAACACCAATGGAACTTTCTCATTGACTGAACACTCTACCTGCTGCCCATCCAACACCGGCTAGTTAAGTCCTACCCCCAGGTAAGGACCAGTTGACTGGAGATCTGGGTTTCTGATTTCCATAGTAAGGTCTCCTGGGCCTTGGTGGGCTACTGAGCCTCACCCCCCCCATACCCCCCACTCCAACCCCCCACCTCCACCCCCCATCTTAGCAAAATCTTGACCAAGTACCTGGATCTCACCACAGTGGGGTCCTGTGTTGAGGGAACCAGGAATGGGGGACCTCCTCAATTGGCCTGTTGTAAAACCAAAAGCAGCTTTTAGTTCCAGGTCACTTACCATGGAAAGGACACAACTAAATTTCTTTGCAGTCAACTTTGACCCCCAATTTAAAACTCCACTCCTGTGAGCACTCAGGCAGGTAAAATTCCCTCCCCCTCTCCCTCTCGCTCTCCTTCCCCCTCCCCCTCTCCCTCTCCTTCTCCCTCTCTCTCTCTCCCTTGCTAATAAGGACTAAAATTAGCTCTCCCTTCTTCCAACTAAAGGTGGGGGGGGGAGGTGTTGGATGAATTTAACTTCCATGTTCTTCAACAAAAAAGTACTTGATATGCTAATATACCTGCTAGCAAGCAAGCCCTGGAAAATTTTTGCCTAGCCAGAGTAATTTGGTTAAAAGTTTATATTAGTAAGATAGGCAAAAAAAAAAAATATCTCTTGCCACTAAAATTTCAGGAAAATGTAGGCTGGTATTCATTCTGCACACTTTAAGATCTTTGCACACAAGAAATATAAACTTGTTAAAACTGTCATCATGAT